ACGTGAATAATAGATGTGAAATCACTAATTCCGAAGGAGTTCCTCCCTAGCTTCATCAATGATTTAGTTCTTCATAGGTTTTTTGAGTCAAAATCAATGAAAAAATGGTGTAAAATGAAGAATGAGGGGTACTGGGCCGTTCTAGGGTGTTTTAGGATTGAGAAATCGTGCCAAAATAAGTTACCAAAAGTGGTTAAGTCGTAAGAGGAAACCAGAAATTTCGTCACAAAAATGACATATGCAGCTGCAAGGTATAAACCCATGTGGCTGTACAAAACAAAGAATTGCTACCCTTGGATTCTCGGTAGATGATCATGCAGCTACATGGTTTAATAACCATGCGTTTACATGATTATAATGTTTATCCATCGGATAGCCTTTAGTATTTTGATCGTATCTTCCTCTCCTGATGTCCGATTGAGGTGATTCAAGATGCGTTGGAAAGATAACTCAAAGAGATACAATATTTCTTCAGATACTATCTTCTAATTAGATTTTTTGTCCTTATCAAAAATTGGTCTCAATATGAGACTGAAAATCGATGCAAAACTTTTCAGCTTGATAGTTGATATGTGATAATGTGTTGGCTATACTTCATCCCTTTGACTCCTTCCTTCATCCAATTGACCTATAATACTCTTGAATCTTCATCACAATGTCAGAAACAAGTTTAGAGTATTTGCTCTTTAGTCCCTGAGCTTTCACTTTCTTTCATTTTGATCATTTTTCGCTCTTTTCTTCAATTTTCCTCCATTTTCACCCACTTGTAACCTAAACCAAGATATAGAAGTACTTAGCGCATTTAGGCATCAAATAATTATAGAATCGTAAAAATTAATGGATAAAAAACGTAACAAATGTGTTATTATCACTCTTCCTCTCAACACTCATGATATGCGTAGAACTTTGACTAAACTTCTTTCTTGCCTTCATGAATGTTCTTTTTTGATTTGTAAAAGATTTGGTGAACGATTATTGGTCATCGACATTCTTCATGAAGCTGAAAAAGGAGGCCAATATGAGAAGTGTCGACCATGAGCTAGATGATGTCGGGGGTTGGAATTTCTCGCATAGGTTGAGTTCTATTTATTGTGTTGATGACCCTTTGTGCCATGATCATAGTCCAAGCAAGCCGGATTCTAATAGTTGTGATTATAACCTAGGGAAAACTTTAGAAAACTTTGGTTCATTTTTGTGAAAATTTATATGCTAGTGCTCAAGTCCGAAGAGGTAACAAGATTGATTCGCTTTCAATTTTGGACAACAGATCTCAACTCTTCGATAAATAGTTACAGAGAGACGGGGCAAAGAAATACAACTAATACCAAATTCTACAGCTGTGATGTGGTAAATGCTTCTATTCCAAAGTTGATTATGATCCTTTATAATTCATCCTGACGAACAAGCCATAAGACTTTTTGAAATGAGGTGGATCGTTGTCTAGAGCAAAGGTTGTTCAAACTTGATGGTACATTCAGCATTAGAAAATGTAATCTAGGTACAATTTTGGATTTTATAGATTTTAGAGGCTTAATAGTTCCCAGCAAGATTCTCAGGAGTAACAAATTTTAAATTTATTGTAAATGTACAAAGAAATATTTGCTACGAAGGCCCCTCCTCAGAAGGCAATGAAATGTTAAATTGAAATACTCGTGTTGCTCTACTTAGGAACTTCTTACCACTTACGTGTGTTTGATTGCATTTATTTTTCAAGAAAAATGTCTGTTTTCTATTAAATTCCTACTTTGAAATGTTTGATTGTTATTTTTTCCATTAAGAATATGTCTAGTTTTCCTTTTTTTTTTTTTAAATGTCTATTTTTTTCATTTTTATTTTTTTTGTTGCTAAAACACTGTAAGTGGTATATTATGTAAGAGCAAGGTTCAGCCTGACCTCTCGTCAAAGTTGAAATGGAAAAAAGTTAAACTTTCCTTGTTCAACGGTTTTGATGGTTTATGAAGAACAAAGATGAGAGAAAGATAATTTTTTCATTCACACATAAGTGTTACATGGCTGGAGATTTTTTATACAATTAATCATACTTCACAAAAGTATATTTCAACAACTATCTCCACCTACTACCACTTAGCTTTACATGACAGCAACTTAACTTGTTGCAGGACCATACTTTGCTTAAGTTATAATATATAACTTAGGATAGAAATAAGTACAAAAAACATAGGATAAATGATAACAAAAACATCGGTTTGATGATGACAAAAATGTTACACAACTATCAACACTCCTCCTTGACACTTTTGTGGAAACATCAAGACAATTTCTCGATATTTCAAATCTTCCTTTAGGCAAAGCTTTTGTTAGAATGTCAGCTTATTGATCTTCAGAATTGCAATGCTTCAGCTCCACTTCTTTCCTTTTTTGTGCTTCCCTGATTGAGTGATATTTGATTTTGATATGTTTAGTCCTTTCATGAAATACTGAATTCTTTTCCATGGAAACAGCTGATTGATTATCACAATGAATGATTGTTGCCAAAGTGTGTTTATGCTTCAGATCTTCCATTACTTTCCTGAGCCAGATTGTTTGATTTGTAGCCTCAGATGAAGTTATGTACTTTGCTTTAGCTGTTGATTGAGCCACGATTTTTTGTTTGACAGAACTCCAGCAAACAATGCTTGAACCAACATAAAACATATAGCCAGAGGTGCTCTTCATGTCATCAATTGATCCAACCCAATCACTATCAATAAAATAGGTTAAAAATAGAGTTCTTGATTTCCAGAAATTGATTCCCATCTCCTCTGTTCCTTTAACATATCTTAGCACTCTCTTAGCAGCTTGGAAATTGTTTAAACTTAGTTCTTATCTGAATCTGGATAACATATTTACATCAAACATGATATCAGGTTTTGTTGATGTTAAATAAAGTAAGCAACCAACCAAACTTCTAAAAAATTTCATCTATTTTCTTGGCTCCATCTTCTTTCATCAGCTTCAAATTTAGAACTAAAGGAGTATTAACTGGCTTACAATTCTCCATGTTGAACTTTCTTAACACTTCCTTAGCATATCTTCTTTGGCAAACAAAGATTTCATGTTGTGATTGTTCAATCTCCATTCTAAAGAAATAATTGATTTCTCCCAAGTCAGTCATCTCAAACACTTTCTTCATTTCATCTTTCACATTTTCAATCAGTGCTGCATTGCTGCATGTGACCAGAAGATCATCAACATACACAGATATGATTATCAATTCCTCCTCCACTTGCTTTATGTAGAGTGTTTGCTCATTCATGCTTTTGATGAAACTAAGGCTGCCTAAGTAATCATCTATTCTACTATACCAAGTCCTTGGAGCCTGCTTTAAGCCGTATAATGCTTTCCTCAACAAATACACTTTATCCTCCTTTCCAACTACAGGGAAGCCTTCTGGTTGCTCAATGAAAATTTCTTCATTTAAGTGTCCATTTAGAAATGCTGATTTTACATCCAACTGATATATATCTTCCAAACTTTTTGAGCAGCTAAGGCAAACAACATCCTTATTGTTTCAAACCTGGCAACTGGAGCAAATGTATCAGTAAAGTATGCCATATTGCTGAGCATAACCTTTTACAACTACCCTGGCCTTAAGCTTGTTTATAGAACCATTAGCATTCAGCTTGGTTCTATACACCCACTTAACTCCAATTACATTCTTTTTTTTAGTTTGTCAGCCATCGCCCATGTTCCATTCTTTTCAATCACTTTCAGCTCCTCATTCATTACAGCTATCCACCCTTATGAATCAGCTACTTTAGTAAAGTTTGAAGGCTCTAGGATAGCTGAATTACAGGTAGCATAGATATCCTCAAGTGATCTAGTTTTGATCACTTCATTTTCTGAATCTAATCCACTGTCAGGTTCAGCTTCAAGTTTAGCTTCATCTTCATTGATGACATCATCTTCTTCTTGTGGAACATGTCTTGGAACCTCCAATTTGTTTACAGTATTTGATTCCCAATTCCCTGAAAGTCTTCATCAATTTTGACATCCTTACTGGACATCATCTTTTTGGTTTGAGGATTATATGCCATCTATCCTTTTGCATTTCCACAATAACCAACCAAGACACCAACTTCAGCCTTTTGACTCAGCTTATCCCTTTTTACATCAGGAATGTGAGCGTAGCATTCCAAACACTTTCAGGTGAGCCACATCAGATTTCACTCCATACCATGCTTTATGGGGTGTTTTCTTGTCCAAGGCTTTAGTTGGTAATCTATTAAGAAGGTATATGGCCGTGTTTACAGCTTTAACCCAAAATTTCTTTGGTACCTTCTTCTCCAACATCAGACATCTGGCAATCTCCATAACTGTCATATTCTTCCTTTCACAAACTCCATTTTTCTGAGGTGAATATGGAATAGTTAGTTGATGTTTGATTCCAACTTCATCATAGAATTTGTTAAACTGGCTACAAGTATATTTAGTGCTATTATCTATCCTTATGGCTTTAATCTTGCAGTTACTTTCATGCTCTACAAAGCTTTTAAACTTCTGAAAGACTGCTGCAATTTCAGACTTCATTTTCAAAAAATAAACCCAACACATCCTTGTTAGATCATCTAGAAAAAGAACAAAATATCTGCTACCATTTAGAGTAGGCGTTCTCATTGCACCACACACATTAGAATAGACTGATTCCAGTTTACTTGAAGCTCTTTTTAACTGATTTTTAGGAAATGGCAACCTGATTTGCTTTTCCAATTGACAAACATCACACACACAATCATCGTCATTTACATTTGGCATATTCTCCACAAGTTCTAGTTCATTTAGGTACTTAAGTGAAGTGTAATTAGCATAACCAAAACATTTATGCCACAGGGAAGACTAAATCAAAGTACTGGTGAGAGCATGAGGGTTTATATTTTTTCATTCCAAAAGGAAGCTTCTATGTTTCATTTCAACTGTCATCAGCTCAAGGTTATTAGGATCCAATATAGTACAAGTACTGTCCTTAAATATTAAGGTATAATTCTTCTCAATCAACTATCCAACACTCACCAAATTTTGATCTATATCAGGTACATAGAGTACATCAGAAATAAATTTGATACATGATGGCGTCTGGACAGAAACTTTCCTAATTCCTCTCACTTCTACATACTCTCCATTTCCAACCTTAACTCTTGATCTATATGCATCGTTTAATTCCACAAAGATTCTTGAGTTTGAAGTCATGTGATGAGTGCATCCACTGTCTAGCAACCAAATTTCAACCCAGCTACCAACTCTGTAGTTTATGGCTGAAAAAAGATGCTTATCCTGTTGTTTTGCTGCTACTTTAGCCTGATGTAGATCCTTCTTCTCCTTTTTGTCTTTACATAGCTTCTTTACATGACCAAACTGCTTGCAAGCTCTGCACTAAACTTCAGGACTAAACCAACACCACTTTGGAGAATGAACTTTTCTTTTGCAATGAGGACAGGGGGATACTTTGTATCCTTGCATGTACCTTTGTTGTTTTCAACATCCTTCTTCTTGTGTTGTGGTTTCTTCACTCCAAAATCGATTTGAGCTTTATGTTTTCCTTTAACAAACAAAGTTCTTTCAACCCGTTCTTCTTGCCTGAAGAGTCTCCTTTGTTCTGTAGCTTGGAGTGCATTCACAAGTTTAGCCAAGGATGTGCTTGACAGGTCTCTTGAGTCCTTAAGAGAAGAGATTTTAGATTTAAATTTTTCAGGAAAACATATCAACACCTTTTCTACGACCCTCTTATCTGGTAAATCATCTCCCAACAACCTTATTTGGTTTACCACTTTCATCAGCCTATCAGCAAACTCCTTCACCGTTTCTGTGTCCTTCATCTTCAAGGTTTCAAACTCCCTTCTAAAATTTAGCACGTGCATCTGCCTTGTTCTTTCATTGCCTCGGAACTCCTCCTTTAATCTATCTCAAGCCTCTTTTGCAATTTTACATGTTATGATCCTGGCGAAAATTGCATTTGAAATGGCAGATTGTATGCAAGAAAGGGCCTTGAACTTCTTTGCTATCTCTTCACTATACTACTTCAACTGAGCAATGGTTAGATTAGCTCTCAACGGTGGCGGTTCTATTCTTATTTCTGTGATTTCCCACAGATCATAAGCCTTCAAGTATGCTTTCATTTTTGCAGCCCAAAAAGATTAGTTTTCTCCTGTAAACACAAAAGGTAATGGTGCTGAAAAACCACTTGAAGCCATCTTGCTCACTTACCAAACACTTGGCTATTTTAGTGAAGGGTAGCTCACTGGTTTTCTCTCAAAACACTACCATTTTGCAACTTCTTCAAAGATCAGATTAAGTTCAGTTACCATTGATGGTATGAAAAACAAAGATGAGAGAAAGATAAGTTTTTCATTCACAAAGCGTTACACCGCTGGAGTTTTTTATACAATCAATCCTACATCACAAAAGTATTTTTCAACAACTATCTCCACCTACTACCCTTAGCCTTACATGACAGCAACTTAACTTGTTGCATGACCATACTTTGCTTAAGTTATAATATATAACTTAGGTTAGAAATAATTACACAAAACATATGAAAAATGATAACAAAAACATTGGTTTGATGACAACAAAAGTGTCACACAACTATCAATACATATACTCTATTGTGTACCAAACTCGTCATAAAAGTTCTTATCTACCCCCCAACAATTTTGCCACATAAAAAATATTAATATTCCAACAAAATAACAACTGAAATGAACTTAACGGAGCCAAATAAAATTATAACATACAAAAAATTTTAATAAAAAACAATTACTTATTTTTCATGAAAACCACTTCAGTATCCAAGCCGAACCCGTCAACGGTCCTAACATGAACGAGTTCGGATCTTTTAAACAGCTTCTTGAGCGGCTCAACACTGAACAAGTCATTAGCCGAGTACTTATCCGACCGTCTTGATAGCGCCACGTGTAAAACACACAGCCCACCCGGCTTTAACGTCCGTTCGATCTCGTCCACGAATTTATCCGGGTAAAGCGCGTGATCAAAAACATTGGAGAATTCGAAGTCGAAAGTCTCATCATCGAACGGCTGGTAATGAAAGTCACCCTTCATAACCAACGGTGGAGATGGAACCAGATCAATGCCGATTGAATCGGATACTCCGACCCGTTTTAGAGCCTCAACTTCTTGTCCCATTCGGGCCCCAATACAGAGAGCTTTAAAAGAATTAAACAACAAATTCTTCTTCTTCAGATCATTGAAGAAGCCCGAAAAGACATGGATTTTCCGGTTCCAGTCACGGGTTGTCCATATTTTCCGGAGTTTCTGGTTGAGAGTCTTGTTCAGCTGGCGTTGTATGTAAAAATCATAGGAGGTGTATCCTGGTCGAATCTTCAGACCCGGAGGATCAGTGGAGGAGGGCGGTGGTTCTACCACGGTGATGGTGGTGGAATCCAGTGAGGTCTTGTAAGAAAGATAAAGGAGGAAAGGTATAGAGAGAAGAAGAGGGACAAAAAAATATTTGTACACAAGTAGTTTTATGTATGATTCTTTCATATTTCTGGTAATACTGCATGGTTTATATGTGTGTGTATATATATATATATATAATCAAAAAATGTGTGTGTTTCAGTGTTTGTGTTAATATATTTGTATTATGTAAACACATATACATACATATATATGTAGAGAGAGTGGTTGATGAAGGAGGAGCTAGAAAGATAAAACAGGTGGTGGTGCATTATACGCCCGCATTAACAAAAATGGCGGTTCATAATGAAACTTTTTCTTTACGTATAGGTTTATAACTTCGCCATATATTTAGTACTAGCTAGAATATCATTTTAGGACCTCACATTTAATAGGTTCAATTAATTTCACGACACTAGTGATATTGAATAGCAATATTACTTTTATAACGAAGTGTGTGCTTCATCCTTCGAGGATTAATAATTGATCTAATCGTTAATTAGTTATCTCTAATTCAAATCCTGTCGGGATTCAATTAATAAGAATTAAAGTATTTTGATTCAATTGGCCGTGAATGATACAACCCAATTCTATGAGTATTTACTTAGATTAATGATCATGTATGTGCGATTATGCTACATATATATAATAGTTTAAATACACGTGTTGTTGTGAGATATGATTGGATCAAAATTTCATCAGTTAAATAATAATTAAAAAAGAAATTGTCCCCTCTCTTCTTGACACTTTACCTATATACAAATCATTATATAACTCAATTACATACATGTAACATTATTCTTGTACATAAGCATGTTTTACTATGCTTAAGTAAAAATATGAAAACCTAAACCTTAAGAAAGATCTACCTTTAGAAATAGAGTAGAAAAATAAAGGGCGTCTATTGTCCCACACTCATCGTAGTCTTACTTCAAGAATCGCTCGAAGATCTCTCAAAAGAGGACGAGAGCATTTTTTAAAAATATTTTATTACTAAAATTTAAGAAACGAACAAATCTCTCACTGATCATAACTATTATAAGAAGCTTATTTGAAAATTTGCCTAACAAAATATGAAGTTTAAACTTAACATTAATCCACTTGTACAATAAGTGTACGAAAGGGCACCAACCACATAAATTTCTAGTTGTTGGAGATTATTTCTCGTCATCCACTTATTATTTAAATAGTTTATAAACACTTCGCAAGCCTTTCTGTCACTTAATTATCTCCACTTTGCTCCCGTAAAGTTTAGATACGTATGCTTTCAAAATGAAATGCATTGAAAATGTCATCATGGATCCTACTAAGGTGCTTATCGCTTTAATTAATTCTCCGTGTTCATGGGTTTGTGGACACTAAAATTATTAAAGTTAGAAGAGCACTTTATCAGTTTATCTTTATGTCATTTGATTTTTCCATCTAATAATCTGAACTTATTACACATTTGATCTATTTATTTTTGTAAATATTGACTCGTGAAAATGTCGTGAAATTTGCTAATTTTATCATGACGACTTAGCGTGAACTTGTAATTTTACCTCCTGATTGAACCTCATTTCTCAAAAATTCATTTTTACTCAAAATCATTAGCCACATGTTCTCCTATAAAATAATGTTACACGTAAACCTAAAATTTTTTCCTACTTTTTAACTACATATGCTTCAAAAAAATCATTATTACAAAATTATGTCCCAAAAAATGGGGGTTAGTTAAGAATTTCAATTCATTATGATAATTTAGGAGAAGTTCAAATCGATTATTGAAATTTGAAATAATTGTTTTTATCTGAAAAGAGAATAATGTTCTTTGTACTTCCTGGATGAAGTTTTGTATGAAAATAGTCAAAAGTTATAACTTTTGAAAGATGCAAAATGCAATAAAATGCTTCTCAAGACATGTTGATTGTGCTTTAAACTAATTTTTTTTTTATTGTTCTTCAAACTAAATTTATTTCTTTTTAAGTTACTTACTATGTCAAATAGAATTTAATGTTAAAAATTACTTCTTTTATATATGAAATTCAATTTTTTGTTGGCCAAAACATGTTCAGGTTGCAAATAGTTTGATTATAAATGTTCATTGCAAAAGGGGAGGCAAAAAGTGAAAAAAAAAGTCACGAAATGCTGAAAAAATCTTAAAGTCGAAGGAAGAGAAGAAATCCTCTCAACTTCAAGTCCGGCAAACACGAAGAAGATCAAAATTTTCTT